AAGGAGCGCCGAATTGGCCACGGTGTCGCCGAGCCAGGTGGCCATGGCCTCCTTCCCGTCGCGCCGGGACCGGCCCCGGCTCACCATCTTCAACAGGATCCAGGTTCTCCTCGTGGCTGCAAACTTCACCCTTCCTGTCCCTTTTTTATATATATACACGTATATGGGTTGCACTTTGTGCTTATCCGGGAAAACGGGGGTTCACGCCTATTAGCAGCCCATGTGTGCACATCCAAATTTAAGAAATCTCAATTAACAACGAGGCTTCATTAACGCTTTACAAGATGGGTTGATGAGCGCTGCTCTGCGGGCGGAATCGTTATTTTCGTGGCGAAAACGCCGATTTTTCCATTTCTGCTTCAAACGTGGGGGGACTTTGTCATGCTTGTGGATGGGGTAATGTTGCTTTGCTTGTTCCTTAATGCAGGGTGGAAATATCTACAGCTTTACGAGCGCAGCGAGGGAGGAGAGCTCGGCAGCAGCATGGTAAGCACCTCGAGGGTTCTTTTCTTCTGGATTTGTCCTGTTTCGGTGTCAGAAAAGGGATGTAGGTGATAAACACCCCATTTCCCCCAAGGGAACACAAGGATTTGCTGGTATGGGGCAGCCGTGACCCCTTTTCCTTGGAAAAACAAATGCTCAGGGCTTCTGGTCCCTAAATACTCAATTCCCAAGGAGGAGTAACCCCAGATATTCCATTAAGGAAAGCAGATCCTGCACTATCCACCCTCAATTCCATATTGCTCTCTAAAGAGAACACCCCATGACTTTTGGGTGCAGATCATTCTTTTTTTTCCAAGCCAGCAAAACAACCTTAAAAAACCCAAACGTGTTAAATATTATTAGTGACTAAATGCCTAAAAAAAGGTGTCGGAGTGTAATGTTAATTTTCCATCCCTTTACCTTGATTTTTCGCTCTTAGTACTAAGACCAGTGGTGTTCCTACAGATGGAGGCAGATTTGAAAGTGGTTTTCTTTGCAAGAGCTGCAGTCAGCTGTTCTATACCGAGAAAGGCCTGGAGAGCCACATGTGTTTCCAGGGCGAGCAGTGGTGTTCACCAGAGAGGAAGGAGGAGCAGCAGGTAAATTGGACCCTCCAAGCACTTATTATTTAATAAGAATTCAATTAAAGTCATAAGGCTTCTTTAAAACCCGTCTGTAGCGACTGGGGGTAAAAGCTCTGAAGTAACTTGACCTTTTTCCTAAAAATTCCCACGGATAAAAATCAGGATCCAGCCTCATGGTGCTACTGAAAGCTCTTCTGGTGGTTATTGCCAACAGAATTCTTGAGCAATTTGACTATTTTTGGGACCTTTTGCCATTTCCAATAATATTTCTTGCTCTACGGCTGTGAAGTATGAGAGAAAAAATTAAGCCTGACTGTTACAGTAAATGGTACAAACTGGGAAGGATGAGGAATTAGGATAAGGAATTGGAGTGAGCGTTGTGTTCCAGGCTCTAACTAAATTACGATGTTTTTAGGGAAATTTATTCCATGTAGTGGGTTTTAAAGCGTTACTAGGGTGGGTTTTGGGGCATTATTAAGCGAATCGAAGGACTGGGATGTCCTCAGATGCCAGGAGCTTTACCTAATATCCTCATGTCCGCAAGGAAAACGGGAATGCCCAGAAGCTGGACGCCGGGAGCAATCCCTGCGGAACGGAGGCGCGTTCGGAAGCGGCGGCTCCGCTCGTCATTCCCGTCTCCGTCCCTGTGCCGGCGCCGAGCCCGCCGGGAAGCAGCAAGGAGGCTCCCGGCTGCCTCCCGAAGGTACCAGCAACGTCCCCTCTTGTCGGTGTGTTTTGAACATCCCAAACGCCTTTTCCCGGCGTATTCCAGCGGATCGGGAATTATTTCCGCAGGCGGGCGAGCGGGAAAGCCGGGATGCGGACGAGCTCCGGGAAAACGCGCGGCAGAAGAAGAGGAAGAGGCAAACGCGCCCCAAATCCCTGTTTATCCCCCCGCCGCCCTCCTGCGAGGCCGCGGGGGGCTGCTTCCAAAGCAACCTGCGCTCCCCGGTGTTCCTGGTGGATCATCTCCTGCGGGATTTGTTCCAGAGCTCTCCGTACACGCCGCCCCCCATGCTCAGCCCCATCCGGGAAGGATCCGGCCTTTATTTCAGCACCCTCTGCTCTGCTAGCGGAGACCCCAACCAGCTGTTCAGCACCGTGTTAGGTAACAACATCCCAACATCTGCCCTTAAATAACATAGAGCCACAAAGGGAGCCAGCTGGGAACAGCAAATTGATGCCAAATCCTTCCTACAGTCACTTATTCCAAGGAAAAAGGTTATAAATACAAGTGGCATCCTCCAAGCTCAACCATTACATAACACTCTGCCCATATTTACATTCAGCCCTTTAAATTAAGAATAACTGCTGACCTGCTTTTCTTTCACCAGTTTGTGCTTAAAAAAACCCAAATCTAAGAATAAAGTAGCCAATTAACCCATAGGGGAGCCGTGTTGGAGGTGTTTCTGCTGGCCAGAAGCCGAGTGGTTTCCCTGGATCCAAGGGAATTCCCAAAGAATAGCTGCAAAGTCGTCGGCTTGGACGGGAATGGGAAATAAGGGTCTCGGAGGGATTTTTCTCTTGAGCATTTTTATATATTTTTTTAGACAGGATGGACAGAGACTTTGGGTTTTGCCTGGTGAAGGATAACACCAAAATCAGCGTGGAGCCGTAAGTTGCAGCATCCTAATTAGAAGGACATGGGATAATTGGGAAGCGAGCAGCGAGGGAGCTGCACTTTGGGGAATGTGCTGCTCCGGTGGTCCGAGTTCTTGGATTCATTCCCCTTTCCTCCTCCCAGGCACATTAACATCGGAAGCCGCTTCCAGGCGGAGATCCCGACGCTCCAGGATAGATCCAACCTGGAAAGCGCCGAGCAGGCGGCCTCATTAGTGTGGAAACCCTGGGGAGACATCGCCACGAACCAGGAAACCCAGGACAGAGGTGCCTTTCCACCCCTGCTTCCCAAATTCCCTTCTTATGGATCGTTTGCAGCCACGTTGACGCTGCACTTGTTCCCTTCTCCTCCTTGGTGCCGTTTTATTGGCAGAAATTGCCCTTAATTTTGCTTTTTTGCTGCTTTTTTAGTGACGGAGCTGCTGAACATGGCCTGCTCCAGCGTCATGCCCGGCGGGGGGACGAACCTGGAGCTCGCCCTGCACTGCCTGCACGAAGCCCAGGGCAACGTCCTGGTGAGCAGCAGCTTTTGGGGCGTCCTGAGGGGGGCGTCGGGCTTTGGCAACTGCCCCCCGTGGCCCCAGCCCGGGATTCGGCCTCTTTGCTACCTTAAGGGCTTAAAAACGGAGCCTTTGTTACCTTAAGGGCTTAAAAACGGAGCCTTTGCTACGTTAAGGGCTTAAAAACGGAGCCTTTGCTGCCTTAAGGGCTTAAAAACGGAGCCTTTGCTACGTTAAGGGCTTAAAAACGGAGCCTTTGCTACGTTAAGGGCTTAAAAACGGAGCCTTTGCTGCCTTAAGGGCTTAAAAACGGAGCCTTTGCTACGTTAAGGGCTTAAAAACGGAGCCTTTGCTGCCTTAAGGGCTTAAAAACGGAGCCTTTGCTGCCTTAAGGGCTTAAAAACGGAGCCTTTGTTACCTTAAGGGCTTAAAAACGGAGCCCTTGCTGCCTTAAGGGCTTAAAAACGGAGCCTTTGCTGCCTTAAGGGCTTAAAAACGGAGCGTTTGCGGGCTTAAGGGCTTAAAAACGGAGCCTTTGCTACGTTAAGGGCTTAAAAACGGAGCCTTTGCTGCCTTAAGGGCTTAAAAACGGAGCCTTTGCTACGTTAAGGGCTTAAAAACGGAGCCTTTGCTGCCTTAAGGGCTTAAAAACGGAGCCTTTGTTACCTTAAGGGCTTAAAAACGGAGCCTTTGCTGCCTTAAGGGCTTAAAAACGGAGCTTTTGGCTCCTTAACTGCTAATCCGGGAATTAACGTTTCTTGGAATTGCAGAACCCGGAAAAAGGGCTTGTTTTCTCCATAAAACTCGCCCGTTTGGTGAATTCATGCAGCGCTACCCTGGCCGTTAGGAATGAGGGAACTAAAATCCCTTTTTTTGTGTTAAATTGCTGCAGGAGGCCCTGGAAATGCTGCTTTTCGGAGGGCCCCGGAAGTCGGAATCTCATCCCCTTGCTAATTACCGTTACGCAGGTAATTGGGGCCAGCGGCAGCCGCTTTCCTTGGACTTGGGTGACTCCTGTCCCTCCGTATCCCCATTTAAGCCATTTGCTTTAAAAAAGCCTTCATTTAAGTGGAATCCTGGCCCTCTGGCACTGGGAGAGCAGGAAAGCTCGATGCTTTACCCATTTACAGCGTTTTTTGCGTGGAAATAGTGTTTTGTGTGTGCTGGGCTGCCAAGGCCTTTGCTCCCCGCTGCATCCCGGGGTTGTATCCCGGAGGGATGCCCGGTGGATGCGGGATCCCCGAGCGGATCCGGGATTCCCGAGCGGATCCGGTGAGCTGCTCCTCGTTGCCAGGCTCGGATATCTGGACGCCCTTGGAGAGGCAGCTGTTCCAGAAGGCGTTTTGTGTGCACAAGAAGGACTTCTTCCTCATCCAGAAGAAGGTAGGGCCTCGGGATGAGGATGAGGAAGAGGAAGAGGATGAGGAAGAGCCCGTGCTGGCCGCTGGGCTCCTCGTCCTGGCACTTTATACCCCAGCCCCATGGAGGTGTAACCTGGATGAGGGGTTTTACTCCAGGCATCACTAAAACCCATTTTGGGCATAAAACCTCTTTCACCTTCTTTTTCACACCTGCAATACAAGATAATCCCTTTTTTTGGCGGAGTTTTTTCCCCAGAATCTCAAAGCTATAGGAGCCCACAAGTGCAGTTGGTTTAGGTGACGGATTCCAAGCAGTAACAGCAAGAGTGAATTTGCAATCTCTTTTTGCTGTTAAAAGCCCATAATTTAATGTGTATTTTTCTCTTTATTTGTGTTTTCTCATTCTGCGATTATTCCCGGTCAGGGGCTGTTCGTGTTGACAGCCTTAACACAAAAAGTAATATTTTGAGCAGCCTTTTTTTTTGCTTCTTAATGCTTAAAAGACAACCGTGCGAGACGCTGCTCGCCCTAACGTGTAATTACAACAGCAGACTGCTAAAATAATTAAGCAGTGTTAATCAGCAGCCTTCCCAGCACTGTGGAAAGCCTTTTGGGCCCGTTTTCTGCCTCGTTTTTGCTCCGCTCGATGCTCTATTCTATGTTAATTAGGGATTAATGAACATTAATGACACCTACATATATACATTCACCTAATTAAGGTACCATGGCACTGTGTTCCTCATAGATTGCTTCTGTTTCTCTCCTACTAGATTCAGACTAAGAACGTGGCCCAGTGTGTTGAATATTACTATATCTGGAAAAAAATAATAAAATTTGACTGCGGCCGAGTTCAAGTCATAGAGAGAAAGGTCAAGAAAGACAAGAATGAGTTAGAAAAGACTGAAGAAAAGGTAGAAAAGACTGAAGAAAAGGTAGAAAAGACTGAAGAAAAGGTAGAAAAACTGGGGATTTGCGTGAGGTGGATTCCGTAATGAGGATGTTTTGGTGTTTTATAAAAATGTGCGTTTTGTGCTTCCTGGGGAGAGCTCCGATAAACTCGTGCAGGATCATTCCGGCCTGCGGAGCGGTGTTTCCTAGCCGGAATGTCATCCCGTTAATTCCCACATTGTGCCATGAGTCCATCTCCATGGCATCTCCATCTATGCGCTGATCTTTGCTAATTAGAAGCTGGGAATTAGCCACACTAAATGTGCCAGCGCCAAGCGCGCTGCTGTTGGGATATTCCCATTCCGGAGGGAAGCGCCGGCTGCTAAAGCATTCCCGGGAATGCCGGGAGGCCGGGAAGGGGGATGTGACGGAATGTTGTCCGTTTGCAGGGCGGTGACGAGCCCGGGACGAAGCAGAGGGGCTGCGGGACGGGGACGCCGCGCGCGTGGAGCCCGTCCTGCCGCCTGCGCGCGGATCCGTGCGGCCCCGCGGGCGCCTTTCCGTGCAGGGAATGCGAGCGGTGAGGGGAGAGGAGAGGGGACACGGGGGAGAGGAGAGCAGGACACGTGGGAGGAGGAAATGGGTAGGAAAGGAGAGCAGGACACACATGGGGAAGGAGAGCAGGAAGCGGGAAAGGAGAGAAGGACACGTGGGAAAGGAGGAAATGGGTAGGAAAGGAGAGCAGGACACACATGGGGAAGGAGAGCAGGAAGCGGGAAAGGAGAGAAGGACACGTGGGAAAGGAGGAAATGGGTAGGAAAGGAGAGCAGGACACACATGGGGAAGGAGAGCAGGAAGCGGGAAAGGAGAGAAGGACACGTGGGAAAGGAGGAAATGGGTAGGAAAGGAGAGCAGGACACACATGGGGAAGGAGAGCAGGAAGCGGGAAAGGAGAGAAGGACACGTGGGAAAGGAGGAAATGGGTAGGAAAGGAGAGCAGGACACACATGGGGAAGGAGAGCAGGAAGCGGGAAAGGAGAGAAGGACACGTGGGAAAGGAGGAAATGGGTAGGAAAGGAGAGCAGGACACACATGGGGAAGGAGAGCAGGAAGCGGGAAAGGAGAGAAGGACACGTGGGAAAGGAGGAAATGGGTAGGAAAGGAGAGCAGGACACACATGGGGAAGGAGAGCAGGAAGCGGGAAAGGAGAGAAGGACACGTGGGAAAGGAGGAAATGGGTAGGAAAGGAGAGCAGGACACACATGGGGAAGGAGAGCAGGAAGCGGGAAAGGAGAGAAGGACACGTGGGAAAGGAGGAAATGGGTAGGAAAGGAGAGCAGGACACACATGGGGAAGGAGAGCAGGAAACGGGAAAGGAGAGAAGGACACGTGGGAAAGGAGGAAATGGGTAGGAAAGGAGAGCAGGACACACGTGGGGAAGGAGAGCAGGAAACGGGGAGGGAAGGAGAGAGCGGGAAACGGGGAGGGAAGGAGAGCAGGAAACTCCTGGGGTTGTTTTCTGGGGGGTTGTAGCTGCCAGGACTGTTGTTGCGGTACAGCCAAGCTCCAGCCGGAATGTGTTCCCTCCCCAGACACGGAATGGGAGCAAAACGGGAATGAAACCTGGACGTGAACACGCACCAAGCAGAGCCACGGGGCTGGGAAACCCCCGTTGGGAACCATCCCAGCCCGTTCCCTTTCCCGTTCCCAGGGTGTTCGCCAAGATCAAGAGCCGGAACGCCCACATGAAGCGGCACCGCCTGCAGGAGCTCCGGTGGCCCCCGAAATCCCTGCGGAACGACACGGACGGGGCCCAAACGTTCCCGGAATAACCGCGAGGTCGGTGCTCCCGCTCGGAACCCGCATCCCTCGGGCTCCAGAGAGGGTTGGATCCGGGGGAAAAAAAGGAAAATCGCAGCTTTTCCCAGCACGGAGAAGCCCTTTGTGAATAG